TATACTTATACTTATACTTATACTTATACTTATACTTATACTTATACTTATACTTACATTTAAAGGGTGTTTCCTGGCCGAGCGCATTCATATTATTTTTTCTCCTTTCTTACTTGTTGTTGTCGTGTGCGATTTAGTAGCAACAGCAACAACCTTAAGCTGTCCAAGCTGTCGTTGCTAGTCGACATCCATGTGCGAGCTGCGAGCTGGGATGTGCGAGGGTCGAGGTTCGAGCTTCCGAGCTTGAAGCTTCGAGGTTCGAGTTTCGAGGTGTCGCCGTCAACGACTGCATAACTGCACATACAAAGCCGTTCCAAGCAGAACTAAGAATGGGATTGGGATTCGCAGCGGGCATAAGAATGAGAATGGGAATGGGAAAGGGAAAGGGAATGGGAGGGGCATTGTGGGTGGGCTCGGGTCTGGCCGTGTGACGGATATGGGAGAGTAAGCGAAGCTGTTGCATGCGCCGAGTGGCAACATATATATAGTATATATTAAGGCTTACTCACTAGGGTTACATTGAACTCAAACTAAAGAATTTAAGTAGCAATTCAAAATAGATTTCTACAGCATTTAAACACTGCCAATTAGCTAGTTAAATCAAGTTATTGTCTGAGTGAAGTGAAGTGATTGAATGATTTCCCATATTGAAATGAGTGTGTATGTATAAGGAATCGCGACAAGGACAGTTAGGGCATCTCCTAGTCGAGCACCCCCCCTACTTGTTGCTTTATAGCTTATATGTAATATGTATTATTATATTTACCATATATTATTATATTTACCATATATTATTATATTTACTATATATTTGTATTCTCTATTCATTGCAGATGCCTGGACTTGTGGTCTTCAGGCGTCGCTGGTCTGTGGGCTCCGATGATCTGGTAGTGCCCGGTGCATTTCTCTTGGCGCTTCACTTTATATGGTAAATATTACAATATATGTGTATATGTATATACATATGTAATGCTCACATTGATGCTAATTGTTATAAATGTGTTGATGCTCATTTCAGTTTTGTACTTGTGGCCGTCTCGTTAGTTTTATTTGAGTACGACACAAGTGTTTTAAGTGTTAAGCTATTATTCTATCATCTAATAGGCTACTTGTTAATACTATTTTGTGAGTATAATCCATAGTGACAATAGATCATTAGCTTATCCGAACTAATCCATATGTAAATAAATCTCCTCAATAGTTTCAATATGCGTAGAAATAGGCATTTGTGTGATCTCGATGCGCGGCAGCATTTTGGACTCCGAGGCGCGTACATCGATCAATATATGGATATATCTCAAGAGTTGTAAGCTATATGACTATAAACATTTATATAGTAAAATAAATATATGTATATATATCTATACTTTCTCAATGGATTCATTCCAGTGGTGATATTATTTGATATTTCATGGCTAATATTGGGCTCCATTTGGCTGTCCCATTATTATATGGAGGCGCCCATCGATGAGGCCAAGAAGATCTTCATAGGTGAGTGTTATCGTCTCTGTGGAAAGTCAAGTGGAATACATTTAGTGCACTACATTTATTAACTGAACGAGCTGAACAACCGTTTAACTGAACAAGAAAAGTTCTTTGAACTGTCGGAGCCAAAATTGATAAAAAAAAAAAAAGCTTGTTCTATTTTTTGCCCTTTCTCTGGTCGGGCTGCCGATGCAATTGTTGGCTTGTTCCCCCTCGAAGCGAACTTTTAATTAAAATTGTTAATAGTTTTATAGAAGTTTGTTTATGGCTTGTTGCTCAGGTTGCAATAAATTGTTGCCTTTGCATGGCGATTGTTAGAATCTTTTGGTTACATTAACAACTTTTAATTAGCGAGCTGAAAGCGCGTGGGGGGTAGGGGGTGAGGGGGGTGTAATATGGAAAATAATAATCAGGCAAACGAAAGTATTTGCGAAATTATTGCAGCAATAATTATGTAAAATTTTTAATTAAAAAGTTTCGCAATTCTCTCTCTCTCTCTCTGTCTCACAGCCATCATCATATGCAACTGGACGTTGGTCTTTATCACGCTTATAACCATCTGGTGCACATTCGATGCAGCCGGTCGTTCCTGGGTCAAGATGAAGAAGTACCAGCGCTCCATGCGAGAGACTGAATCGCGATTCAACTACAAGCGTAGCAACAGCATGAATCGCAACTGGCGGCAACGGTAAGCGATATATATCGATATCGATATAACGATAGCTAAACCGAACTCTATCTACATCCACATCTCTACTCCCTACATATACTCCCTACATCTACATCTACATCTACATCTACATCTACATCTACATCTACATCTACATCT